GCTCGATGTTGACAAGCAAGGAGGACCGCTGTTTTCGGATGGGTCTTGACACGTGCTCGTGGCGGCCCGCGCATGTGGCCCGCATTTTTTCTACGGGTTCGTCCACTGGGCGCATGCTAGCTCAATGCGGATGCACCGCTTGGCGAGGTGAGAGTGCGAGTTCGGGCGAGGTTGTTATCATCGTGTGGCTTCCCATGATTTCGACATGTGGGCGCGCGCGCGTGTGTTTGTGTGTAGGGGTGGCTTTGGTGTTTGTTGTTCTAGGGGTAATAGAACATACTGTGTGCGCAGGGTCTGATCTGACTGGAGTGGGGGGGGGGTCGGATACCAGTTGGGCTGGGGTGGTATGAACAAATGGGAAAGGAACGCTGAGGTATAATCATATGCAAACTGCAACGCCCCATGGTGGACGCTTATGTCCAGGCTCGGGAGGGCTGTAGAATTGAGTTGTTTCTCTTGTCCAAGGAGAATCCTTGTGGGATGGCAGTCAGTGGGATCTGTGTGGTGCACTCTGCGCCGTGCAATCTAATCTTGCAAGCCATTTGGCGGGATCTCAATGGTGCAAAGGCCAGCCAGCACACGTGTCGGGCAAAAAGCTATCATGGGCGGGCACCGGGCGAAAGGCAGGAGGGCACGGGGCGGGCACGGGGCGGGCACCGAGCGAAAGCCAGGGGTTGCCAGTCAGCGCGCGTGGAGGGCACTGGGCGAGCATGGGCCCACACCCGGCGATAGCCTGGAGCCGACAGCTAGCGCATGGGGCGCCCAAGGGGCGGGCACGGGCGGGCACGGGGCGAACACCTCGAGCCGCCAGCCAACGCACGAAGCGCACACGGGGCGGTCACCAGGCGAAAGGCCAGAACCGCAGGCCATTTACGCAGAGCAGACGCAAGAGCGCACCATTCGGGGGATGTGATGGTTGGGCCAAGCCGAAAGAGCAATGCGATGTGCATTAGGTTAGGCAAGCGTGCTAGACGCATGGCATGTTCTGGTGGAGAGGGTAGCGTCTGCCATGAAGCATTCACGACACGAGGGGTAATAATCGTCTGGCAGCTTTGTTTGATAGGCGCTTCTTTCTGAAGGAGTTCAAGTGTTTCTTGGTGTGTGGTATTGTGGCAGTCAGTTGGTCGTGGCTGAGAGCACGGATGCCATACACAGTTGTCTCACCTCTACCGAGGCGCTATAGAAGCACACGTTTGTAGCAGCATGGGTACACATGACACACACTTAGCTGTGTGCGCACATTTCGAGCTATCACGGGGTCGTCTCCGTACACCTCACATGGTGATTGATGGCGAGCGTCAGTCATCCTTGGTTCTGGATCCAGCTGGCAGCACTACGGCAAGTGTCGCGTGAAGTTCTGCCTTCCGACGCGCATGCGTGCGTTTCGAGGGTTGGATTGTGCCTGAAAGCTTTTGGGTAGGGTTCGAGGCCATAGTTTTTCTCATCAGAGCGCACCTGCCAGGAAACTACGCGTACAAATTCTGTGCGTTATCGGGAGAAGGCCGTCCGCGACTTGGCCTGGCTCGCCCTGTCGCCGCACCTGCTGACGCCAGGCACAGGCAGGCCAGCCCCCGCGATTGTGAGAAATGACGAGGTAAACGAGGAGGAGAGGGATGATGATGATGATGATGATGATGATGATGATGATGATGATGATGATGATGATGATGCTGATGCTGATGCTGATGCTGATGCTGATGCTGATGCTGCTGCTGCTGATGATGATGATGATGGTGGTGGTGATGATGATGATGATGATGATGATCGCAATGATGATGAGGATGATGATGGTGATGCGGATTGTGCTGATGGTGATGCTGCGGATTATGATGATGATGATGATGACGATGATGATGATGGTCATGATGATGCTGCTGACGATGTTGTTGTTGTCGGTGGTGCTTTTTGGTATGATGGTGATGTTAATGCTGCTGCTGATGATGGTGGTGATGATGGTGGTGCTGAGGATGGTTGTGATGGTGATGATGATGATGAAAACCATGACGATGTTGATGCTGCTGCTGATGATGATGAGGAGGAGGAGGAGGATTATGATGATGGTGATGATGAGGATTGTGATGATGATGCTGCTGATGATGCTGATGAGGAGGAGGATGATGATAATTATGATGAAGGAGAAGTAGAGGATCGCTTAGTTGGGAGAGAGGGGATGAGGAGGGGAGGGGGCGTGTGCAGATTATGCTGCAACTCCTGTGATTTTGAATTTAGCTCCGGCTCTGGTGCGCGAGGCTGTCGGGGGAGACCTGAGTGAAACGGAGTCGCTAAACCTGGAAGTCGTTTTCGGTTTCGGTTTCGGATTCGTGCGTGCGGGCGGGGCGAAGCAGCGCGAGTTCCTCGCCTTACTGGGCTCAGGCCACGCCAGACAGAGTCGCGTTGTTCGCGGGGTGCCCCGGGTTGTCCCGCGGTTGTCCCGTGGCGTGCCCGGGATTTTTCGCGGCTGTCCCACCGTTGTCCCGTGGCTGTCCCATGCTGTTCTGTGGTTGCCACATGATTGTCCCGTGGTTGCCCGTGGTTGCCTGTGGTTGTCCTGGGGTGGTCCCGTAGTTGTCCCGTGGATGTCCCGTGCTTATCCTGTGTTGTTCTGTGATTGCCCCGCGGTTGTCCCTTTGTTGTCCCGTGATTGTTCCGTGTTCGTCCAGTGTTGTTATGTTGTTGCCCCGTGGATGTCTTTTGGTCATCCCGAGGTTGCCTTGTGGTTGTCCCGTGGTCGTCCTGGGCCGAGTTTTTGACGGCCCCCCTGAGGCCCGTCCAGGGCTCGAGCTGAACAGCGTTTCGGCGATTTCGCGGCTCGTTTTTGCCATGATGTCGTTTTGCAGCAGAGGCGGAACGAAGACTGAACGAGTGAAACCGACAACACAACGAACACTGAAACACAACGAAACGAACACAGCACGAACCACGGCGAAGACGACAAGAAAACGAAAGCGAACACGACAACAGAACGGCTCGGGCCTTGCCTCCATCTGAAGCTGGATGTCTGGGACCCCAGGGCCAGCGCGCCCCAGTCGCGGCGGTCGTCGTCGTCGTCGTCGTCGTCCGTCGTCGGTCGTCCGTCGTCCGTCGCCCATCGTCGTCGTCGTCGTCGTCGGCGGCGGCGGCGGCGGCGGCGTCTACGTTGTTGGCGTCGACGCCGACGTCAAAGTCAGATCTCTGGGTCTCTGGCCCTCCGTCAGAGGCCTGCAGCTCCTGCAGCCCCCCGGCACCGTGGCCGAGTCGCTCGCGTGGCTGGCGCAGCTGGACGCGGATCCGAGCGGGCTGCTGGAGGAGCTGCGGGCGGCCCAGGCACCCAAAGCCTTAGAACAATCTCGAGGTAGTTTTGGTTCTCATCCGACAGGTTGGGGCTGTTACATGTTAACCTCAAAGGGACGAGCACCCGACCTGCCTCGCACATTCTGCATACCAAGGCCGCCAGATCCGAAGTGCGCCAGTGCTCTCTTGGGAACTCGCCTCGTGTCTTCTAGGTCACCCCCAGAGGCGCGAAGATAGCCGTGCATCTCGCGTGGCAGCCTGGGCCAGAGCGAATGCCCTTCTCCAAGGGCGGTGGCGCGAGGTCACGACGGCGCGAATATAACGGCGCGTTGCGCCTCGCGGGGCGCGCTGAGCGAAGTTAGGTGACCTCGTGTCTTCGACGAATGACGACTGCATACCGCGGCCGCCAGGCCCCAACGTGTGCCGGTGCTCTCTGGGATCCCGCGTCTGCTCAAGGCCTCGGCCCCTGGTCAACGTCAGGGGCGGATTGGCGGACAGCGTAGGGGGGGGCGGGCTCAGGGAGCGATGCATTGACCCGCAATCGCCAATTCTCGGCGGCGAGCCCAGGGGGAAATGCAGAGGGGGCGGGCCTTCTCAGAAGGCTCGGTTGGAAGGCCTAGGGCCTTTGCCTTCTAAGAGGTTGTCTAAGCCTTCTCCGAAAACAGAGACGGCTTCTCAGAAGGGGCTTCTCAGAAGGCCGGAGGGCTCTGAGAAGCCCTGCCGCCGCCTTCTTAGAATGCATGCCCCTTCTCACTTCGCCCCCAGGCGTGCCGCCAACACGCATTGCCGATACTGGCCTGGTAGTTGACCCTGCCCAGGAACGTTGGGTGTCACTTTATCGCAGGCCTATCGCCGATCTATCGGCGATGCATCGTGGATGTTTCCCCCCTTGAGCCGATCCCTTACTAATGTCCCCCCTCTCTGGGGGCCCTCGCTGGGCCCCAGGACCGTCAAACAACGACTCAGGGCGAAAAGCCAGCCCTGTGGGGAAGGGGTCGGGACTTTCAGGGGCCCCGTGTTGAAAAAGATAATGCATCGGGTGTCGGTGTCTGGGAGTGCCGGACATCCAGAGGCCTGGAGGCTCGATGATCGAAGCCACGCGCGCTCGTCCAGTCTCGAGCATCGATACTCTGGGTGTTTTTGTCCCTCTGTGGGCAGCTGGGGTGTTTTTTCGTCGTCCCGGCCTGATTCCCACGAGTCTTCGGGATACATTCGCAGCTGGAGCTCTCGTCAAATTTCAGGATCGATACCAATCACGCTGCTGTCTCTCCCTCCTTCTCGCCCTCGTCCTCCCTCCTCTCCGTCCGCTATTCACTCTATTGTGGCTTCGTGACACGATTTTGGTGGCAGTGCAAGTGGGCTCTGTGTGCTGGCTGATACGCGTCTCCTCAGCTTCCCTCCAACTCCATACAAAACAACACCGGGATCGATCCCGCCACTTGCCCGACGGCCCCGTCGGGCGAGTTCGGGCCCCCCAGACTTTAGGGGCAACGATAGGGGAGGATATGCCCATGGGGGGATGCATCGACCCCCAATCGCCCATTCATGGTCGATAGGGGCCTGCTAGCCCACCTCGCACAGGAACGTCTGGATTCGCCATCGTGGACCTATCGCCGATCTATGTGTGATGCATCGCCGATTCCAGTTCGATATTTCCCCCTGTCGGGGACCCCGAGACTCGAGGCTTTCGCCTCCCCGAAGGAGTTGCGAGCGGTGACGAACATCCACAGGCTTGGGTCGTCCCGCCAGCCTGTCGCCTTTGCCGAGGTTCGAGGATTGAGTTTTTTGTTTTTCTGGTTAGTTTGTTTTTATTGATGCTTGTTTGGGGGGCCTCCTGGATCGAATCTTTGAGAACTGCAAACGTATACTTTCTCTGAGCTTCGCGCGGATTTTTTGGATTGGTGCTGGACCCCCCTGGCGGCGCCTCCAGCGCCACCCCTGAGGCGCAACGCGCGCCAGGGATGGGGTCCAGCGCCGATCCAAGAAATCCGTGCGGAGGTCTGGGAGATTATGCTTGTGCAGTTTTTTGCACCTCTACGGGAGGCTTCTTGTCGCCGTGGCTGGATTCTCATCGGACCTCTGGCCGGGGCGCACCCCCCCGAGGAGGTCAGGGGGCCGCTCTGGCAGGGTCGCCATGAAGAAACTGGGGGTCCCTGGATGTGCGGCCTCGTTTATGGTTGTTCGCCGCATTTGCCGGCCCCTCGGGGCTATCTCCAGGCCGCGGGGGCCGTCAGGACGCAGGTCCCGGGCAACACACCACGATTTAGGTTTTTTTTTGACCAGGACCCTTTCCCTCATGCCAAGTGACTTTGCCTGCCGACCCTGGCCTCCCCCCTGCGCGTTCGTTGTCTCGAAACAAGCAACGGCATACGGGTGAACGAACCCTTAGAGGGCCGTGCGGGTTGCTAGGATCGGCGCCAGACCCCCCTCGCCACATCCTTTCTTGGCGCGCGTTCCGCGCCAGGGGCGACGCCAGAGGCGCCGCCAGGGATGTGGAGAAGGGGGTCCAGCGCCCAGCCCATGAAAATCGTGCTGGCCACCGACATTTTATGCTGATGCAGGCCTTTGTGGTTCTCCACTCCCGTCTGCGCGTTCGTAGCCCCCCACGTCCTCAGTGGGGTTCTTTTTTCCTTTGCACGCCTCGCGCAGTCCTCCTCACGTCACCCCCCTCTCCTCTCTCCTTCCACATGGGCCATCATCACTCACCATTTTCATCACACCGCTATGATCACCAACATCAGCATCCCATCAGGATCATCGGTCATCAGTAATCACCATCACCATCACCATCGCCATCATCCTGACCATCATCATCACTCCCACTTACCACTTACGCACACTCAGACACTCACACATCATCATCACAATCATACGCTCACATACTCCCACGTCCACACACGTGCTCCACAATCGTTTACATATGCACATCCGTACTGAGGCAGTCTCGAGCGGGAGCCTCGTCAGCAAATGAATAGCGAGGAAGTCTCGAGTGGGAGCCCCTCCCCTTGGGGTTCCTGCTCACGTTTTTATTCCGAAGTGGTCATCGGCGTATTATATCAAGCGGGGGTCTGCTCTGTGAGTGAGTCTCGGGGAAGTCTCGAGTGGGAGCACCCTCCCTGTGGGATTCCTGCTTCATGTTTTTATTCCGAGGTGGTCATCAAAATGCAGTAGCAGGCGTAGCACTTGAGCACCCCGAGGGGGCAAATCGTGAGCATGTCTCGAGCGGTGGCTACGTCCATCAGAAGTCTCGGGCAGGAACACCCTCCTTATGGGGCACCCGCTTCATGTTTTCCATCCGGGGTGGTCATCGGCGTACTGTAGCAGGCATAGCATTTGAGCACCCTAGGGCGCATATCGCGAGCATGTCTCGAGCGGGGGCCTGCTCTGTGAGTGAATATCGAGGAAGTCTCGAGCGGGAACGTCCCCCATGAGGTCCCGCTTCATGTTTTTATTCCGAGGCGGTCATCGGCGTACTGTACGAGGCATCGCACTTGAGGATGTCTCGAGCGTGGCTTCGTCTGTGAGTGAATAGCGAGGAAGTCTCGAGCGGGAGCCCCCTCCCCATGGGGTTCCGGCTTCATGTTTGTATTCGGGGAGCGGTCATCGGCGTCTTGTAGCTGTCATAGCACTTGAGCACCCCAACGGTGCAAAGGCGAAGGCAGGAGGGGCTGAACAAAAACACGTTGGGGCCCATGCAGGAGCAACGGGCCGCCATCGTGTCCATCGAGTTGCACCCGGATAGCGAGCAGGGGTACAGGGAGTGCACGGCGGGCCAGTTCTTTCGACCTCGCTTTGTACCGCTGGAAATCTGGATGCAGGTGCGCGGCATCACGAAGTCTCTGATCCACCAGGAAGTCGCCGAGCTGCTGTGACGGGGCGCCGAAGGCGGTGACGGTGACGGCGACGGCCAGGCCCAGGCGCGGGCGCGGGGCTTGCCCAGCGAGCAGAAGTTCACGCGGCAGGCCTCTGGGCCGCGCGCCGTGCGCCGCTCGGGGTCACCCTTGTGCACGCGTCCTACCCCACCTCCACGTTGTAGCAGGGCCAGACGCTGCGCAAGGGCGTCTTCAGTGACTGCGCCAGGGACGAGGACGCTGGCCGAACGGTCGTGTCCGACGATCAGCGGTGGCTGCGTCTCTACGTCATGTTCCCCCGCGCCACACGCGTGCAGAACATGGTGGTCTTGCGGCCGCCCCCGCGCGAGTTCCTGGAACGCGGGCCGCCGGCGCCCCCGCGGGACGCGCTCCCGAGGTTCGACGAGGAATCAGGGGGCTCCAGGGCTGAGGCCGAGCAGCTCGCGGCAGAGTCCGGCTTCGCATTGCCTCCCGCCCGACCGCGGCGGCGGCCCGCGGGGTTGTCCCAGCGTTGTGCTCCAGCGCCCCAGCGGCCCGCAGGTCTGTTCGACTGGCTTTGCCCGCAAGGTTGCTCCGACGGCTTCGCGACTTGTCCATCGGAGAACGCGCCCTTGCTGGCCGGGGCGGCGACTGCGCGGAGGAAAATCGAGATGCGCGCCCCTGCAAGAGGGATGGCGAGGTGGGAGGGGGGGGGGGTTGGAGGGCAAGGCGGGGGCAAAGCAGGGGGCGGGCTTCCGCCAGGGCCAACTGGGGGCAAGGCAATGAAGAAACGGAAGAGGCCCCCGATATAGCAAGAACGCGACGAAGTGCACTGCCAAACTAGATGAAAAGAGTCCCACGCCGGGTCCCACCGTCGGATTTTGTTTGTGTACTTCTTGCCATTCTTTGGTTAATGCCCTCTCCCCTCCCTCTCTGTCTGGGGCCAGCGGCGTGGCGCGTGCTTTTTGTCCCTCCGTGTGCGATCGAATTTGGGCGGGGATTGGGGCGAAGACCAAGGGCGTACATCCACGTGTCATTGTAAGAAGGAGGGTCGCGACCCACCCAGACGGGCAATTGTAGACCCCGCAAACCAGCCATGAAACGGCGGCCGTTTGCCCAGACCCCCAGGAACCTTCAAAACACTTCACATCATATCCTTCCCAAATCGTAGTCTTTTGTCCCGAGCCAGTGCTTGCACTTGGGGTTCTCGCTTGTGTCCCTCAGGAGTTAAATGGGTCCGTCGAGGTTTCTCTGTGTTGCCGCCCGTGGGCGCCATGTGGGTTAGGTGGGTCTGGCGAAGTTTCACCGCGTTACCCCCCGTGGGCGTCTCGTTGCCGCCCGCCGCGCTTGGAGGTCCGCCGAGGTTTCGCAACGTTGCCGCCCGTGGGCGACTTGTTGCTGCCCGCCGCGCTTGGGTGTCCCGCCGAGGTTTCGCCATGGTGCCGCCCGTGAGCGCCTCGTTGCCTCCCGCCGCTCTCGGGTGGTCCGCCAAGGTTTCGCCGCGTTGCTGCCCGCAGGTGCTTCACGGGCGCCCCGTGCGCTGGCTGGGCCAAGCGAAGTTTCGCCGCGTTGCCACCCGTTGCTGCCTCGTGGGCGCCCCGTGCGATGGGCGGGTCCGCCGAGGCTTTGCCACGGTGCCGCCCGTGGGCGCTATGTGAATGCCACGTGTGCTGGGTGGGTCCGCCGAGGTTTCGCCACGTTGGCGCCTGTGGGCGCCCAGTGGGCGCCTCGTGCGATGGGTTGGTCCGCCGAGGTTTCGCCACGTTGCCGCCCATGGGGTGGATTTCGGACCCCCCCCTTTGCGCCAGACAGTGGGCCGGGGAAGGGGGCCTCTCCCGCTTTTTTTCCCAACCATTTTGTGGTGTGTGGTCTTCGTTTTGAAGAGACGTCGCCCCGCGTTCCTTCTCCTCTTCTCCTCCTCCTCCTCCCCCTCCTCCCCCCTCCCCCCTGCGATTGACCCACCCAGTACAGCGTTTCGTGGCCCCATAGGGAGCTCCACCGAAGGCTCCAGTGGCTGCGTTCGCATGGTGGCCCCGCCCAATTTTGGCGCACCCCTCACGAGGATCGTGGTCCCATAGGGAGCTCCACCGAAGGCTCCAGTGGCTGCGTTCGCATGGTGGCCCCGCCCCATTTCGGCACACCTCTCACGAGGATCGTGGCCACATAGGGAGCTCCACCGAAGGCTCCAGTGGCAGCGTTCGCATGTGGGCCCCGCCCCATTTCGGCACACCCCTCCACAGGATCTTGGCCCCATAGGGAGCTCCACCGAACGCACCAGTGGCTGCGTTCGCATGTGGGCCCCGCCCCATTTCGGCACACCCCTCACGAGGATCGTGGCCCCATAGGGAGCGCCATCGAAGGCCCCAGTGGCAGGGTTCGTATGGCGGCCTCGGGCCATTTCGGCACACCCCTCACGAGGATCGTGCCTCCAAAGGAAGCTCCACCGAAAGGCCCCCAGTGGCAGGGTTCGCATGGCGGCCTCGGCCATTTCGGCACACCCCTCACGAGGATCGTGGCCCCATAGGAGCTCCACCGAAGGCGCCAATGGCAGTCTCCTTCATGGCTCTCGGAACCCTTTCCTGCTTCTGCTCTTCGGTCAGAGGGACGCCGTCCTCGCGGCGGTCGTCGGCGCCCGCGAAGACGGCCACAAACGTGTCCCTGAGCATGTCGGGCTCCGGCGGGAAGCCGTGGCCACATAGGGAACGCGGGCGAAGATAGTATTCACAATTGCTGTATCCACAATTGCGTATGGTTGGGTCCTTCGGAGACGGTGGGGTGAGGGTTACAGTTTGGGGTTTAGGGTTTCGCGTCAGGGTTAAGGCAAGTGCTTAGGGGTAGGCGATCAACAGTTCGGGTGTGGTTAGGGTTAGGGGTTAGGGGTTAGGGTTAGGGTTCGGGTT